AGACAGACAGACAGACAGACAGACAGACAGACAGACAGACAGACAGACAGACAGAGAAGGGCAAAAACAATCTCGACATCATCAACAAAAGTACTATTAATCCACGAAGAATGCATGCTTGCAAAAACAAAAACAAATATTTTCGATTCCAAATATATCTGTTATAAATCTGTTAAGTTCAGAACTATTGTACGGGGGAAAATGTTCAGGTTTTTTCAAGTGAAGCAGGTAAAAAGAAGATATCTCGAAGCTGACGTTGAGAGCGAGTTATGTCTAAGTAATGGGACATGGGGTTACAGCTCATAAATCTTGGTTGCCTGCCTGCAGGCGGAAAGTTTTAATTCTTCAACAAAAGAAAATAAAACATAAACAGGTTTGTTGAAAGGTCTGAAACAGAGGTGAAACTCTCGAGGTGAAACTATTTAAGAAATGTTTTTCGTGGATGGCATTGTGGGGCGGGAGAAAGACAGTGACTTTGTGGAGAAATTGCAAATTCAAGTTAACTCCCGGCATACAGAATGAAATCCTGCGCATGAATGACATCTACCATAAACGAGTATATATATGGTTAAGTTTTAAAAATAATTTTAGAAGCGGTTTTACGGCGCTCGCAACTGCATACGGTCATATGGGCGTCAGAAGATTAGAGGTGCTACAAGAGAGTAACAAACACAAAAAAGAAGAAGGGGAGATAAAGACAACAGATGTTTGATAGGAAAGAAGAAGCAAACCACACCACTGCACCCACGAACCACCCACCTATAAAAGAGTATATAGATCTATGTGGTTGAGTAAAGGAAAGCATATGGAAACGATCACGGACATTCAATGCAGGGGAAGAAGAAAGAGAGACAGAAACAAATCGAAATTGAAACGGTCCTTTAGAGAAAGGGTTGACTATCCGTGTGTTTTGTTTTGTTTCACTAAAGAGAAGGACATCGACCGACACAATAATGGCCTCTTTAGTGTTGGGAAAGACTAATGAGACATATACAGAAATAAAAGTGGGGCAAGAAAAGAAAAAGTTCTGATGCTTGCAGTACCCC